ACTTTTAAAATCCAAAAAAAAAAAAAAAGGAAAAAAAAACCAGTAGTTTCTTTTCTTTTTCATTGAATAAAGATAATTTACAGATTTTCAAATTGTTTCTTTTTGCTTTCTTAAAAGTACAGGTACTTCACTATGTTAATTGTTAATGTTTTTTCCACTGTGTGTGTGTGTGTGTGTGTGTGTGGAGTCTTAACTCTTGACACTGGGATAGTTTTTGCTGTTTTACCTTTCATGATGACTGAGTTTGCTGGTATATTTCTACTGAAAATTCTCATTCTGGATGTTGGGGCTAGAAGAATGGGGAACTTCTTACTCCCCCTGGTTTGAACTTCCTCATTTGACTAACCTATAACCCTTTTAAAAATGGGGATTTTGCATTTATTTAGAGACAAGTGACTGATACTGCTTTATGATTTGCATGTTTTCATCTACTCTTGAATTTTTTCATTGGTTTATAAGATACATACAGAAAAGTCTACAAATCACAAATGAATTCTTACATTTCTGTTTGACCCTCACAGCACTCTTGTGAACTAGATCTTATTTCCATGTGTTGTTATTCTTATTTCAGTTTTTTTGTTTTATAAATTCTTTTATTTTTGTTAAAGTGACTTAATTTTTTTTAAAAAATCAACTATTGTTATCCCGCATAATTTTGAAGCTAGTATATAAACGTGTCAGTTCTGAATTTTGATGGATGTGTGCCTTGCATATGGTAGATGTATACTGGTAAGGTCTTTTAGCAGTATGTGTAGTTGTCTGGATGTAATTTTTTTTCAAAGTTAAGATTCTGTACGTGCTGAGCTCTTGCTCTTTGAGGAAGATGTGGTTGAATTTTGAGGCTGAGCAAAGAGGTTTCCAGCTAACAAAAAGATGTGCTATCAATTTAACAGTAATTTCTTTGCGATTGTCAGCTGTGTTTATACTGATATTTTGAAAAAAGTTTCTGTATGCTCACACGTGAGTTTGAGCGTGTGTTTAACCAGCTGGTATATGAATTTTCATTGTAGATGTGATATGTGAGTTTTAAGTAGTACCTGGAAGTTTATTTTGATTTTTGCAAAAATTTCTGTTGAATGTTTTATCTCAGTAACTATGCAGTATAATTCATTATTTTAGTCCTTGGTCCATTTTGTTTGCCTTTGTTACAAAGAAAATGCCATATGGTACCATATCTAAGATTCATCCTGTCTGTTCATTCTTTCATTCAAAATTTATTTTTTAAGCACCTACTGTGTGCCAGGTCCTGTAAGAGGTATTCGGGATTCATCTATGAACAAACTAGACAAAGACTCCTGCCCTGTGGAACTTAAGTTTTAATGAGTGTGAAAGAGACTGCTGGAGCTTGTTAGCGTTACTCTTTTCCTATTCTTGTTGGCACGTGTCTAGACTACACATTTCAGCCTTCATGTAGCTAAGTGGAACCATGTGAATAGTTCTTGCCAGTGGAATGAAAACAGAATGATAGGTGTCTTTCCAGAAGAAGACAGTTAATAAATAACAGGGTGCCTTCTCTACCCTCTCTGCTATCTCGGTGTAGAGAATGTCATTAGGACCCAGCGGAGGGTGAAACCATTAAGCGAAAGGAAACTGGGTCCTTGAATGATGGGTGGAGAAGAATATCCAGCAACCCACTTGACTGTGATAGGGGCATGATAAGAACTTTGTGTTAAGTCACTGAAGTTTTAGTACTAGAAGTAGATTTCTGTTAAAATCTTAAAATGTATGGCTTTGTCTTAGCAGTCATGTGGCACACTTGATGAGGAAACTGACAATGGAGAGGGAAAGTCAGAAACCCATGTTTGTATATAGTGGTAACCAGTTTGGTAAATGTGTCATCTGTGATCATTTGGAAGGCACACCTCACACCCACCGGGCTGTAGGTCAAGTGTTGGAAAAGATCAGAATGTGAGACTGTTAATGGTAAGGTGACATAAGATAGAGATGAGTTCAGAAAGAATTGGCTAGTGCGCAAGCAATAAATGAAAGGGACTGGAGAAAGCTCTGACTCTTGGGGCAGTGAAAGGAAAAACAGATTACTTCCAGACCCTAGAGAGAAAGCAAAACAGTTGAGAAAGGCTTTAAACAACAAAGTCCTAGTAGACCTTCTCAGTTGAAAAAGGTGACTAGTCCTATAGCAAAGATCAGATTAAGGGTATGGGCTCTTGTGCTTGGCTGCTTATCAGAATCCCCTTGGTTCTGCCTGCAGAGATTTTGATTTATTGGTCTGAGGTACATGAAACCCTGTACATAGACTGTTTTTAAAAGTTTCCAAAGTGGGCCAGGTACGGTGGCTCACGCCTGTAATCCCAGCACTTTGGGAGGCCAAGACGGGCAGATACCTGAGGTCAGGAGTTCAAGACCAGCATGGCCAACATGGTAAAACCCTGTCTCTACTAAAAATACAAAAAATTAGCTGGGCG